TTATATTTGATCGAACACTAAAGTCTCAACCAAAGTGGTTTATGGAGTAATATAATAGTATAGAAACTGATGAGATATGTTTGATGAATCCAGAAACAAGCGAACAAGAAAGATGTTTTCCAATTATTTGCTGAGAAAGTGAGAGATCATAAAGACTTGGTTTCTCGGTGGGCGGTGTTACAGGAAACCCGTGTTGAGTACTTTAGGGGAAAAGATTTTGTTACCTTTTTGAGAAATCATCCAGAGCTGAAAGACATCTTAGAATCAGATAGGCATCTAGAAGTAGAAGATATTGTGAATGTCCTTCTCAGCAAGAATCTTTTAGTCCGTTGTGATCGTGTTGTCAAAACAGTACGCCCTGGAAAGAGAAAACTCTCAACATGGCCAGCTCATCTAGAGATATATCCCGTAAGTTGCTGTTGTTCTTAATTATATCACATGCTTATTTTGGTTCAAAATTTTGATTTGGTTTGACTTTTGTTGACTACAGGATCAGGAGTTCTCTGATAATGATGCGTTTTTTGCATGGACGTTTGTAAACAAACGACCTTTATGGCAAACACTTTTGTCTTTAAGTTGGCCTGTTTTGACTCTTGCAATCTGCTTATTCCCTGTGTATCCCCACCAGGCAAAGCTGCTTATACTCTACTCTTGTGCTGGGGTACTCCTCCTTATACTTTGCCTTCTTTTGGGTAAGCCTATTCTTTATTCTTCTTCTTGTTATTATTATTATATCTTTTTTAGAAACTTTTACTTTTAATGCCTAGAACAAACAAGTAAATGTAATATTTTCATGAATTGAATTGAATGTAGTTCGGGGGTTGATATTTGGTGCATCATGGATTTTACTGGGGAGGAGAATCTGGATATTCCCAAACATCTTGGCTGAGGAAGCAACACTGCGTGAACTTTTCCGTTTTTGGCCCAAAAAAGATGAAGAAGAAAAGCCAAAACTTACAGCAAGATTCTTCTTTGCAATTGTTGCTGTTTTAGCCATCCTGCTTTTGAGGCATCATGCACCCGATGAGGCTGCTAGGGCTAGGTTTTATTTATTCTACTCATCCGTCTTTTATCGATTTTGATTTCTCCAAATACACTTTATTTATTTATTTATTTCAACAGGTATCAGAGGCGGGTTTCTAATATTATTGATGATGTCCTTGAGTGGGACCCACGGTTGGCTTTGTCTGGGATGATGGATAGTATGCAGTCGGAGGAGGTTAATGGTACTGAAACCAATGGGAATTTTACAGATGGCAGCGCTGGTGGTGGTGGTGAAAGGGTGGATGATGTTAATCAAAGTACAGATGAGAAAGATCATTCTCATCTGTTTGATGATAATGATAATGATAACGATAATATATAGGAGAAATGTAAACATTCAATAGAAGAAGATTACAAGTTTTTGAAAAAGGAATATTATTATTATTATTATTATTATATGTATTTTCTCTTTTTATATTGGCTTTGAGTGTAGAATTTGTGATTCAAGTTTGAGAATAAATCAAAATGGTTACTTACAACAAAAATTACCACCACTTCCACTTTGCCTTGAGGGCTTATACAAGTATAGGTTGGAAAAGGGGACTGGGTGATTATTGATATGGGTCGGGTTTGGGTTCGTTGATTTGCAGATATTTTTGTTTATTTTCTGAATTTTAAAAAGCTAATGTGTTAAATCCAATTACACAGCTACAAATGTTGTCACCATAATAATGTATATTACCCTTTTTTAATAAACCAGGATAGTTTTTTTTTTTTTTTTTTTTAAAAGTAACCACGTCAATCTATTTATGTATATCTTAGTAATCATTTGACACCTCAATTTGAGATTGCAATCAAAATGGAATGTCAAACTTTTTTTATCTATTCCAAAAAGAAATGTGGATCTCCTGGTGTTCATCTACCCGAAGATGGCGCATACAATAGGGGTGTTCGTTTGGATCGAAGATGGCACGTACAATAGGGGTGTTCGTTTGGATGGATCGGTTTGATCCGATCCAATTAAGTAAATCCGTATTGATTTCAGTTTTCAAAATATGAATCCGAATTGTCCAAATTAAATTCAAATCCAATCCAATTACAATTCGGTTGGATCGGTTTTTATAATTCGGTTTTCAAAAAGCATAACATTTTAACACGATATATAATTATAATATGATCCAATTTTTACAGAAGAAACAAAAACAAATTATTTAGTTGTAATTTAAAATTTATAAACAACTACTAAGAAGATATATCATAATTTAATATTTAATTGATAAAAAAGTTTTTAGAGAAAATGCATATTAATTTTTTTTATTAGGTGAAGCCTTTTGAAGTTTAAAAAAAATTATAAAATTAATAAATAATTATAGATATATTAAAAATAAATATATAATAAATTATTATTCGGTTTGTTTGGACTATTCGGTTCTTATTTTATAAACCAAAACCAATCCGAAATCCAAAATAATAATTCGGTTTTGGTGAAATCTAATCCAAAAGTCCGAATATCCGAACCAAATAGTCCAATCCAAATAGTCCAATTGGGCAATTCGGTTTTATCCAAATAGTGAACGGCCTAGCATACTAGCATACGAGGAGTTATTTGAACATTACCCATAAACGAGGGGTCTAAGTGAAAGTTTTTTGTTCTTTCACTAGCAAAACCAAAAAGAAGAACGCCACGCCGCCCACAAACATCGTCTCTGAAATTGTGTTAAACCTTAAAACTTAAAAGACAGCCGGCGGCGATGAGGAGTAAGCCAAACATACTAGTCACCGGTACACCGGGGACAGGGAAGACTACGACGTCGGCGGCGCTGGCCGAGGCAACTAATCTACGCCATATCAACATCGGCGACCTTGTTAGGGATAAGAAGTTGCACGATGGTTGGGACGATCAACTCGAATGCTACATCGTCAATGAAGATCTCGTAATACCTTTATTCTCTATCTTAAGTAACGACCTATTTCCCAATTTCACACACAAGAGCTAATTCCGTTTGCTACTAATGATTTGCTTTCACGATTTGATAAAATTGCGATTGTAATCGTGCTAGTAAGAGATTTTAAGGAGTTGTTATCAAAGTTGTATCACGATTGATTGGGTAAAAATCATCCGTTTCTGTGAATGAATCTGCAAAGAGTAATTGGTTCAGAGATTGAAGGTTTAGGTTATGTATACCTGATAATTAAACTGTCTGCAGGTTTGTGATGAACTTGAGGAAATAATGGAAGATGGAGGGAACATCGTTGACCACCATGGTTGTGACTTCTTTCCTGAACGGTGGTTTGACCGTGTGGTGGTGCTCCAAACGGAAAACTCCATTCTTTACGATCGTTTGACCAAAAGGTGTGTTTTGCTCCTCTTTCTTCAATTCTTTTTTATTATAGTTTTTGATTGTTACACATATCATATGATGAATTTGTGGGGGGGATTATGTAGGGGTTATAGTGGTGCAAAGCTTACAAACAACATTGAATGTGAAATCTTTCAAGTTTTGTTGGAGGAAGCTAAAGATAGTTACAAAGAGGAGATTGTTGTGGCAATGAAAAGTGATTCAGTTGATGACATGAACAGGAATGTAGCCACCATAACCGAGTGGGTTAGAACCTGGAGCTCCACGAATTGACCCGAATGGTGTAAAATTTTCTATGTAAGAAAAAAGTATCTCATGTTCCATGGATTTTAATGACTTATAATTCCCGAAAGATGGTTTTAGATGGTGTAATGGTTATTGTTCCTCTTTAGGTCAAAAAGAATAGAAGAGGCTTGGAAATCTATTTAAATCGATATCTCATAGTGCAATTTACAAAACGACATTGTTGTAGCTTTCCAAGACAAAATTATGTAGAAAATTTATAGCGCGACGTATGTTCTTTGTAACTAGATATGAAAAAACCGACGGATTTGATTTGGATTTGGATTAAGCACCTAACTAAAATATGTTTGGTTTAAAATGAACAATTACATAAAATGTAATAAATTAATTCAACTTCATGCGAGATAGGTTGACAAATGCTAGACATCTTATGGGGAAAAAGAGAAAAACGGGGATTTCCTTCCATATGGTGTTTATCGAATTGGAAAATATGTATGATAGTGTACAATGAGAGACGATTTCGAAGACCCTGGAAGTTAGAAAGTTATGGTAGGGTATATAAGTTTTGAGGTAATGATCTATGTTTTAATAGAACGATTTAATAGCTTGCAACAATCTAATATACACTTTTATATAAGTTTTGAGTAGTTCAACTTGTTTCCTTGTTAGCTACATTTTCAGTTTTACAAATCAAGTTTTTATCACTAAAACACAGCCCTAATCATAGACCTATATTCCTTATACATTGATCAATGTAATGTTGTCCTTAATTTTCCAATATATAAAAAAACATGGGAAGTAAATTTGTTTGATGAAATTCGACCTGTTGCGACGAGTTTATTAATCTTATATTTTCGACGCCATTTATGTAACGTTCTCTTACACAAGGACAATTTATGTAATCTCATAATTACATCAGGACCATTACTGTAATTTTGTCTTAGATAGAGATCATTTATGTAATTTTTTTTATTAGACATGAACTATTTCTGTAATTTTACTGTTACATAGGGGCCATTTCTGTACTTTTATCATATATAAGGACCATTACATAATTTTTACACGGGGACCATTACTGTAATTTTTTCAAACAACATAATGACCAATAAATAATTTTGCAAAGACCATTTCCGTAATTTTCTCAAACATGGTGACAATTAGATAAAACATAATTTTTATACAGAGGCCATATCTACAATTTTCTCAAACATAAGTACCATAAGACAATTAACATGGGACCATTTCAGTAATTTTCTCACATATATGGAACATTAGATAAACTTGCAAGAACCATTTCTGTAAGTTTGGTCAAACATATAGACCAATAGACAACATATGATTTTACACAATGACCATTTCTATAAGTTTGCCATATACAAACACGACTTGTTAAAAGTGCCTGATAAATAGTTATATTTGATAATTGATAATTGGTGATGGAAAACTAAATCATTAAAACCTTGATAAAATAAACTAGTCACTAGCGTTACATTACATTATTCGATCACGTGTCTATTTGTATAATCTATTATGGTAAAAACCATCTACATAAACCCTAAACAACTCAACTTTCATCTCTCAAACCACCTAACAAAATTGTGAATTTGAAGAAAAACCTCAAATCAATGGAATTGCAAAACCCCAATGATACTAAAAGGTGGGTTGATCTCAACACGAGTAGCTTTTCCCTCCAAAAACAACTGAGGCAAATTATTGGCTTCTTTGGGCTGAATGCCTTCAGCTGTCCATAAAGTCAAATGAGGCCACTCGTTTTTACAGTTAATCTTTTGACCATCAATTGACCCAGGGTTGACTTCCAATGCTGCTAATTTATCTGAAAAGAAAACCGCATTCACATCCACAGGGACCTTTTGGTTCACAAATTGACCATAGTTTGCAACCACGGTTACACCGTGGCTTCTTTTGTGGGCCAGGGTTATGTGTGCCTTCTTTAGCTTCTCTTCCATGTTCTTCTCCAAAAATGCTTTCACTTTTGGCTCCTTCTCAGCCATCTGTTGTTCATAATAAATAAGTTAACACAATTATACTATATATCAAAAAGCAACATCGGACCCTCAACTTTCAGAAATGAGTTTTTCCACCCCTACACTTTTTAAAATGGCATTTTCCACCCCTCTAATTTATAAAATGACACTTTCCACCCCTATACTTTGTAAAATATCACTTTGACCCATTTAGCTTTGAACTTCCTAAAATGTCAGTTTCACCCCCCTCCATTTTTTAAAGTTTTGTGTTTAACCCTTGTTGTATTGACTCACATTTGAAAGGAGATTATGAACGTCTGCAACAGGAACATCAATGGCAGCAAAAACTATGGTTCCAAATTTCCTTTTTTCGGTTGATGGTGTTTCGTATTCTCCTTTTGTGATTTTTTTCAGCTCTTCTTTCACATGATTAACAGCAAATTCAAATGGAACCTGTAAAATAGAACTTGTTTTTATTTATTTTGAAGTAAACAAAAATAATGAGGGTAATTTGGTCTTTTAATAATAAAAAAAAAAATGTTACCTGAATAGATGTCAAATACTCAGCATTTTGAAATAAAACCTCACGAAGTTGCTTTTCCCATGTAACCCACTCCCTTATGTATGTCCCTTTAGTGGACTCTAATCTACAAATTAAAAAACAAAAAAAATAATAATAATAAAGTTACACCAATTAAGAATTAAAGTATTTGAGAGAAAAAAGAACCAACCTCCCGTGCCTATTAGTATGCAGCCTGTATAGATTAATTCCCTCTTCCAATATTGTCTTCACTGAATCAGGTAGTGGGCCCCTTTACAAGCCAAAAAAATAAAAATAAAAATATATAAGTCACCTAAACATTAGAAAATTAGTGGCATTACATATTTAGTATTTACATTACCTTTCAGATTTCAATAGAGGCATCTTTACAAGGGATCCAAAACGCTCTATAAGTTCACTTTCAAATTCTCTACGATTCTGGAATATGTGAAAAATAATATTATTAAAAACTAATGGTTTTGCTTTTTTGTGAGAAAATAAAGCATCATAGGGCTTTTTGAGGTGTTAATGTTGTTATACCTTTCCATCATATAGGTGATAGAACATTAGCAACACGTATCCAACATTTGGAGACGATTTATCGAGATTTCCCTTTAAATTAAAAACATAAAACCATAAAAATCAAGAATTTAGACACCAAAGATATAAAAAAAAAAATTAAGAGAAGAAACTTACAGGGTGATTGACTCGGTTGACTACACGATATATGAAAACTGCTAATGCATCTAGAGAAAATGGATTTGATTCACTTCCTACAAAAAATTTAAGTAACAATCAATTAATTTTTTTTTCCATTTATAAAACAAATAATAAATATATAAATAAGAACCTTCAGAATCTGGAACAATTGGTATAGCAGATGCTTTAGTGGTACGACACATGTCCTCAATCTGGAAAAAAATGACAACCAAGTATAACTCCAAGGGCTTATTTGTAAATCTTGGAAAGATGAAGAAAAGAAGAGAAAAAGTTACCTGCCTCCATACTTCTTCATTAGGGGCATTTTTGTCAGCAAGGACAATAGAATATGGTTTCTTTCGTCTCTCATCCGCAACTCTTTGCCAATATTTCCCTATTGAGATTTTTATATAAATATTTCATTATAATATTATAATAATACTATTATACCTTTTATAAGGTCACCCATGAGACTATGAATAGGTCGATCATCTTCAAGACCTTCTGAGCCACTTAAGATTTCCTTACAGAGTGCAGATTTAGCACAACCAGGTATTCCAGGAAAGAATATTATAAGACCTTCCTTTTTATGTACAGCATCTGGTTTTGGACTAGAAGCTTCTAGAACCTTCTCACTCTCCAAATCACCTTCTTCTTCTTCATCTCTACCTCCATCAACAATGGCCAAAAAATCTTCACTTCTTACTAAATCTCCAGCACACCCTATCAAAGCTTGATTTTCTGGACTTCTTTTTGCATATTGTTCAAGAAAAGGCTCAGCTTCACTCAAGTAGATTGATGATGAAAGCTGTTTGTTCCCGTGTTTCCTTCTTATGTACACTGCCCTGAAAATTTTATATAATTTATAAATTCTTTTCTTATAAAAAAATAATACTAAATCCTTCTTCCTTCATTACCATTCATCCAACATCTTACTGAGTTGTCTCTGCTTTCCTGGTGAAGTGTTCCATATCTTCATTTGCCTACATCATGCAATTTGGTCTGATTATGACAAAATGATATCAAAATGACATAAATGCCCTTGTGTGTGAAGGTTACCTGAGGTAGTAGGTTTTATAGGCAGCTGGACCTTCTTTGAAAAGAATCGACAACCCGTTGCGAATCAAGAAAGTTCGCAGCTGTGTCATGACAGAATTATGTCAGAAGGGTATAAAAGTAATTTCGACCACATGACTAGGGGATAATATATATATATATATATATATATATATATATATATATATATATAACACCTTATATGTAAGAAATTTCAGCTTGATCATTAGATTTGCATCTTCATCTGCTAAACTGTTTTTTGTAGATGTTTCATCGCCATCTTTGTAATATTTTCCAATGTCGGGGGTATTTTTGGAAATCTCTGCGCATTTCTCTTTACTTGCCTTGAACAGATTAATTTCAACAAAAAAACCTCGATATAGTGGCCATAAATCTGGCTTGAATCTCATCTCTTTTTGGTATCTCCTGAAGGTTGAATCACTATGCACATGGATCACCATTTTATAATGAAGATTATCACTAGATATTGAATTAATTTTGTGGAAATTATAGTAACACTTGAAAGCAGCAGGAAAACGTTTTTCTTTCATCAATCTGACCATTTCCTGAAAAATAAAAAAATATATATATCATGTAATTAAAATACTGTTTGTGTATTATTTATACTGAAATTTGATAAAAGAGTTTGGATTACCTTTAATTTAAAGGTAGTATGATCAGAAGGATTTGTTTGTAGAAATTTGGAAACAACTGATTTATCAGCATTTCTTGGAGGTATATCAGCAGCTTCAAATCCAAACCAATCCACATAATTTGGACAAAAAGATTTCCCAACATTTTCAAGAAGTGCCTTTATTTGCTGCATTGTATATCAAGATTATTAAAAGTCTCTATAAAGTATTAAAAAGAGATTAAAAGATTAAAGATTACTTGTTTCTCATCAGATCTATTTTCAGCACATATTTCCCGTAGACCTGGTCCCAAATCTTGATCAACTGCCACATAAGCAAAAGAAAAATAAATGATAATGTATGGAAAACAAAATATATACATGAAATTAGGTGAAAAGGGTAGCAAACCTTCCTCTATTGGTGAAGGGTAATCTTGTAAAACCAGCTCCATTTGTTTGGTGCTCTCATGGCTTACAATACGTGCAACAAGACCCTCCAAAATCTCACCCTGCACCTTTATGTGGTCTATTGATCCTGTAATCATTCAACATTGTTTGTATATGTTTTAGGATTCTATATTGTACATAGTCATACTTATTGTCTAGATACATTAGTGTTTCCATCTATCTATCCATGCTCTTTTCTTAGTTGCACACCTGGCACAGAGATATCTGCCACCTCATCAAGAGCTTTACATACAGATGTAGCTGTGCCTTCCTCGCATAGAGCATCGTAAGAAGCAAAAAATGATGTTACAGAGTGCCTTGAAGAAACAAATAAACATGTTTCAGTTATTATTCCCTTTGATTTTTATTAATATGAAATGGAGGGCGTATTTGAGAAGATTACCTTGTGGAAAACAACCAAATATGATTTGTAGGTAAACGCCATTTTCTGCAAAATGCAATAATCTCTGGAGTGGAGTAGAACTTTGGCTTCCCATTGCCCAATTCAGTGACAGCTGTCACAACAACATAATCTTCACGAGGTCGTTGTCCATGGTCTCCTAGAACAGCAGTCACCAACTCCATTGATATGCTCATGTGTTCTTGCTAAGGGTATAATGGGAAGACATTAGGGATATGAAGGAATAACAAAGAGTTATCTTTAACTTACCTCATATTCAAGAAGAAACTAAACAAACAACTTTCGTATCTATTATATCAATGATTATCATCAGAATGTTAACATCATAATTACCTCAAGGAATTCATTGAATTCTGCTTGCTTTTTGCTGGCTTCTGTCCCCCATGCCTTGCGAAATATTCTTCCAAGAACAAAAACTCCAACTGCAGTATAACTACATGACATACAAAAAGTTTAATAAGAGAAAACCGAAATGACCAATTTAAGCAAAGAGTTCGATAACTGGATTGAAGATGCATTTAGTAGAAAGAAAGAAAGAAAGAAAGAAAGAAAGGGGGTCTCAACATACACATTCCCAAAGCTGTTCTTTGCATACGCTCCACCCTCATGGCCAGCATACATAAAAAGAGATCCAGAGTGTTTTAGTGAAACCTAATAACACCATGGAAGTCAATCAGAAGATACCAATGAGCATTATCAACCATAAAAGTATGCTAAAGGAACATCAGAGATTACAGGGACAGCATACCTCCACTGTAGCTAGGCCTTTTGAGACCATTTCAATCATCCTTATCCTAACCTGGAATCAAAGAAATACAAAGATGTAATGTTTATAGACCCCCAAACATCATAACTACAATGAAATGAACAAGGGAATTTCTTTACCTCTTGATCAGACTTCTCATTTTCAAATTTGGGATAGAATGTTGCTCTGATTTTGGCAGTGGAGTAAGTCGAGTTATCTACATTAAAATTTTCCAACAAATCTTTTTTAAACAAACGGCTCAAAGCAGCAGTTTGAGCTGCAGTTTCCTGTCTGGTAGTTTCTTTTGCAGCATCACCAGAAACTGTCCCATAAGACTTTGGTTGGTAGACATATTTTTTACCATGTAAAGAGTTGGCATTTATTACTGGAGAACATCCAACTGAAACATGGGACGACTGTCCATTGCTTTGACCATGAGGAGGTGCTACTGCTACATCATCCACTGTGATACTCCCAAACTGTGGAACAGGAACAGAGGATCGTGCACTGTTTTCAGCAATAGCAAGCCTATTAATTCCATTGGTGATAGCTTCAGTAGAAGCTGCAGACTTAACTTCTGCAGCATCAGACCTCCCATCCGTTTTGCTATTGCTTGGCTTCTGAATCCAACTTTGGTCTGGTCGACCACCTCTTTTCTGGACGTAATCAAACTTAGCCAATTAGTAGTAGCGATGGAGTCAATTTACATCACACTGTACAGACAACAGCCCGATCATCGAGTAAAAACAATACGAAACACACTTCTCATATCTGATTAATCGATTAAAGCCCAATAAATTTTCTCATAAACCCTTGCCCACCCCCGAATAAAACAAAACCAATTACTATCTAAAAGTTAAGTAAACAGAGGTGTTATTGACGAAATACCTGATTACGCGGCATGATTGAGTGGAAATCCGAGATGTTAGAAGCGACGATAAAGCGAGAACGATGAACGAACTGGATAGAGAGAAAGCGAACGAAACTGAAGGTCCTCGAAGAAGAACAGAGAGTGCGAGGAGAAGTTATTGCAGAGTGGGATACGAATACCGACATTCACGTAGAAATCGGAAGAGAGGTGGCGAGTGGCGAGCTTGGTGCTCGTTTTTGGTCAACAGATGGCGGATTGAGAGGGGTTTATGAGCTTGTGTGTTCATAACCCCCGAAATCACACATTTTCCGTTTTTTTATTGAAGTTTTTAAACCTAACTCTACTTTTTTCTCCTTTGTAAATAGTAAATACTTAGTACTTGAAATTAATAAATTTATGTATGATTAACATTTAGTCAAAAGTCATATACTTTTTATAAAAGTACGTTGCAATTTAAATGATGTAATTTACTCACTTGATGATAGCCGTTATACACATGGCAAATGATCATGACAAAAACTACAAATAATAATAATAGTGTAGGGAGATTTTCTTTTTTACAGATTCATTGAATCCATGCTTTAGATGCATGAGTTTCACAACTTACATGTAACATTTGTAATGTGAAGTCACGAATTTAACCCCCCAACATTGCACCATTGTCAAATTGTTTCAGTTTGGTAAGGTTTCGTACCCTAACAACTAGGGAGACCCGTCCCAAATGGTGGGTGATAGGCGTGCCTATCTTTTAAAGGTGCCCAAAATTTTTATGGACATTGTTAATGATATGTTAGAAAAGATCAACCTGAGAATATCATTATGAATTTTGCATCAAAAAAAGCTAGAAGTATATCTTTTTTTAAATATATGCATTTTTGTAATCGAAAATGTTACATTTAGAAGCTAGTATAAATAATTTCCTTTCAAATATTAAGTTATTATAAAAAAAAATAACGAAATTTATTTATTTTAAGAGTCTTTTTTCCTATCTCGTCATGGGCCCAAAATATATTTGAAACGACCATGCAACCAGGAATGAGCAAAATTCTCTTTGAACCTAGCCGAACCGGAACTGGAGTGATTGGGAACCGAAGATGTACTTTGGTTCGGTCCTCGGTTCCTCCATATCCATAAATTCAGTTCCGGTTCAGGAATCGAGCTCACCTCTATACCAAGTTGGACCACATACATTTTATTGGTTTTTTAAAAATTCTTATAAATAATTAATTTATTAAAATGTGATTACAAAAACTATACATTAAATTAGGGAATAATCTAATATGTTATGGCAAAACGATTAGGAGATTGTACACATTATAAATACATTTGAGCCATTGGATACATTGTCTGGTTGACCCGAATCTTTTTCCCCAAAAAAGTATATATTTTCATAAACAGTTAACACACTATTTGGAGTTTGGGATAATATGATTAAAAATTTAAGATCAAAATAAAAACGACCTGGAATAACAAATCTATCCTTTATTTTGTATATCCATCAAATTATCTTGCTTGGCTCGTGGATTTTGCTAATCTCTGTCCAGCCTACAAAGTGTTATTTTCATTTCACCAGCTATATGAAATCACCTCTTCTTGTGTATGCATCTAAAATTTGCACATTAATCATAGAACTAAATAAAAGTAACATCTGAATAACTAACTTCAACCTCTTCTTCCATCTCTTCATTTTCTTCCTCAGTATCATCCTTATCCTTCACAGGAGGAATCAAATCAACTTCAACAGTCAACGGACCTTGAGGGTTCCCGAATACTGTGGTCAACATCTGTCTATGACATTCTTCACAAAAATAAAAATAGGTAAAATGACCCTCATAAAGAAGCTTATGCACCATTGCTCCTGGTAGAATCCGATGCACATACTCACTCATTGATGGTGGCACCACCCTATCTTCCATCCCCTGTAAACAAAACAGATCAGAACATAACAGAACAGAACAGAGCAGAACAGTACAGTTTGGTGTGTACTGACCTGCCAGATATGTATTGGGCCAAGGAAACCGGTCAACTCTTGTTGTGGTCGTTTATATAAAGATTTAAGCCAAAAAAATACGCCTTTCCCTTGGTGTTTTTTCTGAACATTGAGATCACTTATGCTAAAACCCCAATTTGATACTTGCAACACTGCTTCCTCTACAAATGGCTTTACATTACCTTGTCTAACTGACTCCCCTAAATCCCGCTTCCAAAATTCTTGATATTTCACTTCTTCTATAATACCCTTGTCCTGAAAAGTGCCAACTCAGCACAATTAGAATTTTTTTATCTATTGATCAAGGTTATATAATAAGATTGATTACTAATTACCCTTGTTCCAAGTGACATTGAGAGCCACTTATCTATTCGATCAAGATTTCCTGACAAAAAGCTGCGTTTGTAGAAATACGGAAGAACTACCGGAAACTTCCGTGCTAAAAAGTACATAAATTTCCTTTTTGTTGTCCACTTGTCCCATGTCCTACGTGTCTCAACCTTATTCATGCTTGCTTCATATGGATTCACCAAAGGTGCTACCATGAAAGCACCTGTATTTTGAGTTCAAGATAATCAGATTAAAAAAAAAAAAAGTATTTGATTTAAAAAATGGTGAAATACCTGCAATTCTATCGGGAATGTACTTGAGTGCAGCCCATGTATGTATGCTTCCACATGAGTATCCAACTAACCAAAACTTGTCTGTTATATGAACAGCATATGATAGATATAACATGTCCATTGCTGATGATTCAAGGTTCCTTTGTGGGTGAGGATCACTTTCCCCAAATCCAGGAAGATCATATGTTATCAATCGAACACCAAATTCTTGTAGTAGTGAACCCTTGATTCCAGGTATTCCTGTTTAGATAAAAGAAAAAGAAAAGATTGAAAATGTAATGAATTCTAATTCCACAAAGTTATCTTTTTGTATCATGTTTTTACCTGCAAGTCTTGATGAGAGGAAAGAATGTGGTGCAATGAGGGTAAATCGAGCGGAGTCAAATGAAACGCCTTGTTCATGGTAAGCCAAGTGTCGCCCATCTGGTAATAGTATACGGGTTGCATTTGGAGGGTATATGTGTAATTTTTGTATAAGTTGGGTGGTTGTATCACTTTCAGAGGTTGCAATTAGAACTGCATGAAGTTGATTGTTGTCAGTCAGATGTGTGATATCATTCTTTTTTCATTTGTAATTTGAAGTAATCAGTTTTGAACGATTAGAAATGGCATAGCTTCATGACTTCATCAGTTTATCATCCCATCAGTTATTGAAATTCCTCAACCTTTCAAGCAATTTAAAAACTTGAAGTTATCATGTTCAAATGTGACATTAAAATCAAGGTCAAGTATATGAAGAGGAAGATGATCTTTCATAACGCAGTTAGTGCAAAAGCAGATTAAGCTAGAAAATAACTAAAGAAAATTCATCTCATCAACAGTATGTATATGTAGAAGCTGTTGATCATTCAAGCTGCGTTAACCATACGGTAATTTGCCATACTAAGGATTCTGATGCTCGATTAAAGTGATCAATGAATAACAAGAAAAATTGTGTTTATTCTGTTATAAATGAATATACAGAAACAAATTAGGTGATTGTTCTGGATTGCCTCTTTTTCCTAACCCAAATAGAAAAGACAAAGAAACCACTAGAGGAAAAAGTCAATTATTAATCATCCCTACAAAAAAGTTCAATATCCAGATCGATTTCATTTACAATTGATGAATTCTACCAGAAATGAGAGAAATAAAATCACAAATACGAAGACCGGATAAGATAATCGAATATACTATAGCTTTCCCTTCAATTTCCGGAAAAACCCACGCAAAATCGCTTACAAAACAAAACCGATATTACCTGCAATAACGACGGCGAAAACGACGGAAACCACACTCCACGAGTGCATCGGATCGCGATCTTCAGGCAGATACTCGTTTAAAAACTTCAATTTCGTACAAGCGGCCTTGCACGGACCTCCGAAATGTCTCACAACGAACGAATCATCTCTCAATATACTCTGCCTCACTACATCCCTACATCCTTTCCCAAATTCAACACTCAATTCCGCCACTCCCTTCGCGAACTCCGTCGCGTGAAACCTCCAATCCTCCTCCCTCGATACTTTCCGAAAATTGCCTCCGAATCCGACACCGACACCGACACCGGCGGCGTACGGAGGCACCACGCCGTTGACTTCATCCATAGATCAATCGTGATCCACAGCCACTTTAATCCCGTGATGTTTTGCTCATAATTGTCTGTGTGGAATTAATAGATGTGGGACTTTGCGGTGGTTGCATGAGCGGCTGGTTTGGCTGAAAGAGGGAGTGTGAAAGGGGCCAAAGTGTGAGATTAGAGAAACTAAAAGGGGAAATTCTGTAACTATGGTTAGAAGGTTGGAATGATGAATGATTAGGATCTAGGGGAACATGAAAATCAACGGCGGATATTCCGCCACGTTAGTAAAATGGGGGATAGTGGGACGGTAGCTGATGACAGCGGTGGTTGGTTTTATATGGGGCCCAAGGGTTTGCTGGAAAAAGGTAACGGCTGTTACCTGATTTTGCCGGTTTAATGACCGGACAATACTCGATACTGTATATCACCGTATAAATACAAATTAATAAATTGTTGTGATTTTGTAATATTAACAAATTGTTGTAGTTTTGTAAAAAAACTGTCACTTGTTAATCCTGATATTTAGAGTATAATATTAACATATTGTAATGTAATTTTGTAATTTAATGACAACGATGTATCCAAGTATTAGGATTAGTTTGGACCAAGGAAGGATAAGCTAGGACCGTAGGTTTTCCATTTGTCGCTTTCGAATGCAAAGTTTGCTAATGAGAGAGAGAGAGAGAGAGAAAGAAAGGATTTTGGAAGGATATTGTGAAATTAGGTTTGTAGGTTTGAAACGGTTCTTTTAGTCTTCTACGGAAGTCATGATCTCAAATACGAGGAAAAGATGTAGATTAAAGTAGTGAAATAGTATAAAAGTATGATATAATCTCAAATAGTGGTGGAACCATGAAAAAGTCCAAGATGTAATACACATGATTTTTTAGGGTAGCACGGAAAATTAACAATATGTCGAAAAATTTTCCAAAAAATTTATCTTATGTCGAAAAATTTAAATAGGTACCGGCTACCATTGGAACCTCCTTGGTTCCGCACCTAATCTCTAATAGGATGGAATGAAGACGTAGAAATATGCTAGTGAAACAGTATAATAGACATTAGATCTGGCAGTTACACAAACACGACATCAGTTTTCTGTGTACGGGTTTTAAAAATTCATGTTTATTCATGTTGACATGAATTCTAAATTCATGTTTCATGTCTTACATGTATCAAACAAGAATTTACTTGTAAAAACATAAGACACAAATTAAATTCGTTGACACGCGACACGTATAAACAATTGTAGACATGGGACATGTGATACATACATACACATATAAACATGTATATACACGAATTAAATGCATGTTTTCCTAGCTTCAATTGGTATTAGGCAATGCGTATATAAACTTGTGTAAATTTATGTCTTCATGTAAAATGGTTAAAAATTTGTCTATTTGTGTCGTAATGTCTCATACGAATTAATTATGTGTAACACCCGGAATCTTGAGGAGCAATTGTACGGAATGAATCCCATTTTGGGGATTGGAACATGGCGTGTTGGAGGAACCAACACGACGTGTCTAGTTGAGGAAAAGCACAGGTCTCATTAAGACCAACACGGCGTGTCAGTATCTAAACATGGCGTGTTGGCAGCTAGGGAAGGAAACCCTAATTGCACCCTATATAATCTCCTTAATCCCCAAGGGTTGGTATCCTTACCAGCCTCCATTGCCACTTAAACCCTAATTTGTCCCTAAAGCTTTCTTGGTGGTGTTCTTGAGCCTTAGATGGATTCTTGTGATTATTTTGCTCATCCAAAGGAAGCTTTGAAGATTGAAGGTGCTTAGCTTGGAAGGAAGATCATAGATCCAGAATCTCTCCACTTCTTGCAGTCTTTTTGAGGTATCAAGTTTGCCTCTTGGCTTGTGTATGATTAGATCTCTTCATGACTAGTTTATTATGATTTTGGTCTCCTTTTTGGGTCTTTGGACGAGTTGAGTTGTTTAAGGGCTTGTTCTTTCGGATCTGGGTTTGTTTTGGTATCCTTGAGCATAAAGGTGCAAGCTTTATGTGAGGAATGGTGTCATGCATGCTTCAAGTCCCCTATTAAGTCCCTTTTTAGCTTAAGAACTTCATTCAGTCATATATGGACGTAAACTTGGCAACTTTACATGATAATCCAACTCAAGGATGTCAGATCTATGTTTTGAGGACATGTCTTTAAGGATTAAGTGCTTATTAGTTAAGATATTGAATCTCGAGCAAACATGGCATTTTTGCAAGCCAACACGGGGTGTTGGCTAGGGATTTCCTGATTATTTGGGTGATGGGAGGAACACGGCGTGTCCTAGGGGCAACACGGCATGTTTGGTCAACATGGGCTGTTGACTTTGATTTTGACCAGAAGTTTGATCAGGGTTGACCTTGGGATGTTTTGGGCCATGTTTGGGCCTTTTGGATTGTTGAATTGGGCCTTGGCTTTGGGGCCAAGTTATAAGAGGGTAAAAAGGTCGTTTACCCTAGTTGGAGTACGCTGGGCGTACTCCTTGTACGTTGGGCGTACGCATGCAGGGGACAAACCCTAAATTTTAAGGTTTAGACCCTATTTAAACAACATTATGACCCCCCCCCCCTCTATTCTCTCATTTCTCATCCACCATTGCCCTTAGGGTGCCATTTCGAAACCCCAACCTTCCTTGAAGAGTTTTGACCCTATTGAGTGTGTGTTTTAGTGTGTGTTTGTGAAAGTTGAAGAAGAGGATCTTGGAGGAAGGAGCTTTAATCAAAGGGAACTTGTAGATCTAGAATTCTCACATCATTTCCCGCTTCTGAGGTATAAAGCTTCAAACTTTCTCCTTGTTTCCTTAGATCTAGTCTTTTTGAAATTTTGGCCCCATTTTGGTCATATAATGAGGTCTAGTGGATTCCTTCCACTACAACAATTAGAAATTGCTTCTTTGGATATTTATGAGGTCCTAAGTCCATAAAGTTAGCATATTGATGGCTTTGGATCAGCCATGCATGAGTTTAGGTCTTTATGGTGAATGTAGAATGCTAAAAGTGGGGTCTGGGTCCTTATGAGCCATGCAAAGGCCCCAAGTTCAAGATTTTATGGCTTAAGACGTTTGATAAGACTTGGATATGAAGTTTGGGCTGTTGGTTGCAAGTATTAAGCAATTAATGGAAAAGTGCTTAATGGGCACGTACGTCGAGCGTACGTATGTGTATGTTGCGCTGTAACATCCTAAAATTTAAGACCGGGTTCTTGAATTAATAAATTAAATAAATGAAAAATGATTTATATAGTTAAATCATCAAGGGATAATCATATCATTAGTTGATATGAAGTTTGGAAAGTTATAAGTGAAAATAGTAACATTTTAAAGTTAAAAGGGTAAAAGTATCAAATTTGCGAAGTTAATTGACCAAAGGGTTGACTCAGTTAGTGGAAAGGACCACTAAATTTATATAATGGATGGAGGAGGAGCTAGTATGTCAACCCTTTATATAAATGTTAAAATAATTGAAGTAATGCTAAATTTGACAAAAGTTGTAAAGTCGACGGACTAGTTTCGACAAATAGAGAACTCTGTGACTAGTGTTAACATAGTCATTTGACTAATCAGATAAAATGAATTATTTTGGGGTCAAAGTGTGAAAGATGTAAGTTTCCTTTTATTTATTGATCAAATGGTGTTAAATATGAAAACAAGGAAGGTTAGGGGTCATTTCTGCCAATTGTCGAAAGTAGTCACTAGTTAGATGGGGTTCTCTTCATTTGAAGAGAGGAGAAACGAGATTGAGTGAAAGGAACAAGGAAATGGCGATTTATATGACACGGAGGAAGATTTAGAGTAGTTATTGAGGAATCAAGCTAGGAATTGAAGATATGACGCAACATCAAGCTTGAGAGGTATAATTTCTCATCCTCTAACTCTATATTTCGAATTCAAGGTTTGGGGGAAGCTCCAATGTCGAAATTAGTTTGATTCATGGATTAGGGTTTTGGTTTCCAACCTCCCTTAAGTTGTTTTAATGATCCCAATCTCAATCCAATCATCCCATTGATGGATTTGAGGATTTGGGTGAAAACCCTCATGAACCTTAGAAACCCAAATTGGTGATGTTGCAATTTATGATGAAATGAGATTGTATTCTATGACCTAGATGATATTTGATAGCAATAAAACCAATTGGAATGCTCAAATTCATCCATGATGGTAGAATCAAAGAATAAAGATGGGTTTTAGATGGTTATGTGAGAAATTGTGACGAATACAATGAAATTCTTGGAATGTGAACATTTGATGAGTATATGATACTCATAATCATGAGTTGATACTGTCACACTCCCAAACCGAAACGGCGGAACCGTTCAGGGGCGGAGGACGTCATGTAGAGTATCACAACAATTGAATAATAGTGTAACGACGTAAATTTTAAAACAATTTTTCATTTTTCAAACACAATAAAACTCATATAATATTCTCAA